CAATTATTGAAGATTTCCAGAGGACTTCACCATTGAAATTCACCAGAGCTATAGTGAAACTGACAATGCCCACGTGCATGGCAGCTAGATGTTGGAATACATGGGGTAAAAGTGAAAAAAAATATTATTTTACCTTTCTTATTTCTTATCCTCCACGGACAGGTTCGTCGTTGCATTGCCAACTTGATAGAGGAGGATTTGGGAAGAGGGAGGATTTGCCATTGAACTTCTGGCCAGAAAAAAAACACGTAATATGTAGCCAACATTTGGAAGAAGAATGTTTTCAAGATGACTTGGATAATAGCGCGTTGTGACAAACACCAGATACAGCACTGGGACTTGATCAACAGCCGATACCGCACCATGACGTCACAGACCAGTAGGTGGCAGTAGTGTTCTTTGACAAACATGGATGCCTCCAGTAAAACACATTCAAATGAGCATTACTCTTAATTAAAAACACGTATCAGTATGTAATAATTTCATATTTAAAAGTTTGAATTCTGATTATATGACCAGACTTTTCCTTTAAAGCTCCACAGTCTAAAAAACAAAGAGAAGAGACCCAAATGCAGGGAAACGAGCAAGGTTGAGCTGAACAAAGCAGCGTTTGGTGATAAAAAAGAAGCAGGACGGACTCAGAAGGCAGCACGACCCATGATGGAAGGAAAGGATGATACCATACAGTAGGACCTGTACCTCCTCCTGCTCCAGACGTTCCAGGACCAGCAGGCAGACATTGTCCCTCCAGAGTGTCCTAGGTTGTCCTCTTGTTCGTCACCTGTGCCAACTGGGATGTGCCTGGAACTCCTCCCAGGCAGGGTGGACTCCTCTGAATGTGGTGGAGATGCAGCTCTACTCTGAACCAGATTCTAGAAATCCTGTCCATAAAGGTTCTAAATAGATCCGGTGACCGGTTATGTGATGGACCATCATGAAAAGGTTTATGACTATAAATTGCAGCAAACCACCAAGCAAAAACTGGTCTAAAAGACACTGATCAGACATGATTTACGTCCATAAGATGTCTGCATTTGGTCGAAAGCTGAAAGGTGAAAACCCGTAATTTTCAGATCGTTGAAAAGACGTTGAAAACTGGGTTTGTAACGTCTTTTCAGCGTCTATTATTGGACTAAAGTAGAACAAAATCAGACTGACCAAACAGCCCAATGTTCAACAACTATTTCTGGACTTAATCCAGACTGTGACGGACTGACCAGATTTAGCCTAAAAACCAACTTCTAAATGACATCTGGAGTTTGAGGGGAAAGAGCAGAACTGTTCTCAACTACCATGAAAAGTTTTGCTTTTCATGCAGAACTTTGTGAAAGTTAGGTGTGCCCATCCCTCAGAACAGATCTAAGCTTTAAATACGGTGGTGGCAACATCCAGAGGTGGGCTGGCAATGATCTGGTCAAATCTTTGTTCCTGCAGACCCAGCAGCAGATCTCCAGACCTCTGGGCCCAGGGCTGGGTTACCTGCAGCTCATCTGCCAGCTGCTGGAAAAAATCTGTCATCAGCAGGAGATCAACATCCAGCTGCAAAGGCAGGTGTGTGTCCTGCAGAAGGACAGCAGGATGACAACGACTAAGGAGGTATGTGAACGTTGTTTGGTTCTGTAAATGCTTTACAGATGATTTAAAATGTAGAGTTTGGCCTTCATTAACTCAGATATGAACCTGTCTGTATCATGTCTGCAGCAGTTCTTCCAGCAGTACTGCAGCTGTGGTGCTGCTATCCTGGCCTTCCAGAATTACCCACCGAAAAGTGACTCCCTGTCTCCAAGTGGTACTTTCTCTAATCTATCCACCATCCCAGAAGTCAGCTGGTCAACAGGTAACCATTGATCACATGCTGCTAATAAACGCTGTGACGTTAGCTTTAAATACCTGCATGCCATGAGCAGCTTAATGTG